AATATTTCTTTAGTTGGATACTTGTTATAATATGTATTTTTGTTTGGTTTTTTATGTTGCTTGGTGTGTTAATAAGGGGGGGGGGGGTCCTGAATTTAGTTAACAAGGTATACTCTATAGTTTAGTTTGAACCGCGGTAAACGGTTCCTGGCGTGAAAGGAGACCCCTCTTAGTTTGCTGCTCAAACGTATGATTTCCCGAATTCCCGAAATAATTCCCGAGTAGCTGTAAGATCCCGCTTGCCGTAAAGATATCTTTTCCTTTTCTCGAATCCAGCACCGCATTTTGGTTAAATCCCGGATCCCGAAAATACACTTCCAGACCCTATTGTCAGAGCCAGGGACTCGTTCGTCAAAATTTCTCTTTCCATTTTGTTAGTTGCAACCTACGCCCAGAGAGATATTAGCACAATTTCAAAAGCTTTTTGTTAGCCCTACTAATTTATGCTACATGCCTAGAGCGTTGCGTACTCCGTGACCGCAAAATTCGGGCGTGGCCTCTTGACAAGAGCTCCCGGGACAAGACTCATTTGAATCGCAATAAGAGATTACTATATGGGGCTTGTTAATCGTCTCTGAATTAGAATCAGGTTTTTCCATTTTTCCTTCATTCTTTAGAGGGAGATTTTCTTTCTAGAGGATAAAAAAAACCGTTCAGAATAGGCAGTGAGTGAATAAATGTGACAATGCGCAGAAATGTTTTCCTCTGTTAATAGTGAACTGGTTACATAAGGCGCAAATTGATAATCATTGTCCATTCTCGTTTCTGCTCTCCTTGAGAAAACATAACAAATGTTCTTGCCTGAACCTTTCAGTTACAAGCACAACCCTTTCCACTTACCAGCTGATGAAGGTTTAATCCTATCTTTTTGCTCTTAAGGAGTACGTTCTTTTTTGTGAGCTGTAACTCGGGATATTTTAATTTTCAGGTTAACTAAAGCATGGCACATAAATGAACCCTGGAAAATTACCCAGGGCATGCATGCTTACCCCAGAGTTTGTGAATCCTTCCACCAATATTGCCACAAGTAGGTTAAACAACACGTAATACCCGACAGCCATCAGGGTCGTAAAGTACAGCGCTGCCCACTTGTTTGTACTGCGCATGCCATCATACATTACTCGATTCCAGTTCTCCTGGGTAAGGACCTATGTTACAGAAAACTCACGGTTTTAGTGTGAACACTCAGAGAAAACTGTAATGTTTTTTAAAAAGACGCGAAAGTGAGTGAGTGAGTGAGTGTACAACGTTTGACTGAAACAACATACGAATCCCCTGATCCGTACGTTTTTCTACAAATCAATTTTAATTACTTTTTATTCGTTAGAAAAAGAGGGAGTTAGAAAGGTAGAATAATTTCTGATTTTGATCCAAGGTTCATTGATCACCAAATTTTTCAAAAAATTTTACATATATGAATCGTTTTTTGCTATCTAGCTAGATTAAGGGAATCGGTGTCTCTACATAAAATAATACTTTTGCGTTTGGTGGTATCTATTAATCAGTAGCGGATAGCAACGGAGAAGTTGTAAACTTTACACAATCAGTCAAACGAACATTTAACCTAACGCTCGATGCGGACTGACCACACCAGGCCCCAGTTGATCAAAAGGTATATAACGCTATCCATGTGGACAGTGCAATTGGTTTCCCCAATACTTATCCACTGGATAGTAATTTATCCGGCGCATAACGTTATCCATCTTTTGAACAACCGATGCCTGATGGATAAAAATTATGCTTGACACGATAACCGAAGGCATACCTGAAACACAGATACCATTGCCCAAAGGAAGTCATCAAAATTACTCCTGGAGATGACAAGCTGTCCTTCAGCGTTCTTGAATTCAAATTTTCCACCAAATAAATTCATACCAAGGATTGCAAATGCGAATATGAATAGAAACAGCAGGCCAAAAAGGGTCATCGCACTTGTCATGGTTTTAATAACCACGAGTAACTGGTATCGAACTGGTCTGACAAGTTTGAAAATGCAGAGAAGTCTGATGCTACGGAACACTGATAGGGCGGAATTCCCTTTGCAAATAAGTATCTCGCAGACACTAAAATTTAAAAGGAGAAGGTGGCGTTATTAAATTATGACAGGGTGCCGGCTTAGGGCCTTGAATTTAACCCGAGTTATCTGGGTTCAAACCCTCTCTTTTAAGGAGTTGTTCTCGGTCATCAAGAGATCAATTCCTCGGCCATGCTTATCAATAGCCAACCAATCAAAATTATTTACTGCTAATAGCCTTGAAAGAAAATAAGCATAAGGTTTTATGGACCAACACTGAACAGTCTCACCTCCTGTCAAGTGGGCTTTTACCTCGTAATTATATTAAATTTGAAATAGTGGTATAGATATTTTTAAAATACATTTAAAAAGTGGCATTTTGAGGTATGAGTAGCTGAAAATCAATACTCTAGCTTCAACTAATCAATGATCAATAATTGGTCAAGTGCCAATATCTTGATAACAATTACTTAGCAGAGAAAACCAATAATAAACAATCATTTAGTGGATGAGGTTTTTGTGATATCCTAAATAATCAAGGTCGAGGTAAGTGTTATCAGCCGAGCCGAAGACCGAGGCTGATAACACTTACCGAGACCTTGATTATTTAGGATATCACAAAAACCGAATCTAATAATTAGTCAATTATCTGCTAGCATATAACTCACGAATCTGTAGTATAGGTTGCGCTGGTTTCCAAAATGAGCTGTAGGCTCTTAACTAATGAGAAAACAGATAGTAAGATAATGACAAGATTTGTCATTATTTTTAAAGTTACCAGTACTTGAGTCAGCGAGGCTTTGCATTAGGGGAAATAAATCAATATTTAATTACCCATCCATTCTCCTAGCGCAGTGATTAAAATCAACTTATCGAGACATAGCATTCCTACCTTACAATGACAATTAATCCATCAAACACATTTTGTCCGTTGTTAAGATACGTAGTAACTCCATCTCCTAGTAGCTTTAGTATCATCTCAATCCCAAAAATGGATACGAAAATTATGTTTGTGGTCTCCAGCGCATCAACAGTTAGACTATCCGGCTGCGATAGAAAACATCAAAGATAAAGCACAAGTACCCCAAATTATATGGAAATTACTACAGACCATGTGACTTCTTTTCAGCGTTTTGTGGTTGTTGTTATTTAAGCGTTATGGCAACAGTATGGTAACAGCGAAATTATAATGGAGGGGCCTGTGATCACAAGTGAGACGCTTTATCCTGGAGCTAAAGAATCTTAGCTTCCACTGCACTCGCACGGCATGAATTAGAGTGCGCTATTTTATAATTTTGGTCGTACGTGGAAAAGAACTACTACTACTTCGATTCAAAAATACCAAAAACTACTTCTTACCTGAGCTTCTCTGCCTGTTGATTTGTTTCTATGTGACTAGAAGGGGCTATTAATTAAGTTGCTTTAAGGAAAGCAATGGAACTTTAATTTACTAAAATCGCTGTCAATCGCTCCAGAAACCACANTTTGTCATTATTTTTAAAGTTACCAGTACTTGAGTCAGCGAGGCTTTGCATTAGGGGAAATAAATCAATATTTAATTACCCATCCATTCTCCTAGCGCAGTGATTAAAATCAACTTATCGAGACATAGCATTCCTACCTTACAATGACAATTAATCCATCAAACACATTTTGTCCGTTGTTAAGATACGTAGTAACTCCATCTCCTAGTAGCTTTAGTATCATCTCAATCCCAAAAATGGATACGAAAATTATGTTTGTGGTCTCCAGCGCATCAACAGTTAGACTATCCGGCTGCGATAGAAAACATCAAAGATAAAGCACAAGTACCCCAAATTATATGGAAATTACTACAGACCATGTGACTTCTTTTCAGCGTTTTGTGGTTGTTGTTATTTAAGCGTTATGGCAACAGTATGGTAACAGCGAAATTATAATGGAGGGGCCTGTGATCACAAGTGAGACGCTTTATCCTGGAGCTAAAGAATCTTAGCTTCCACTGCACTCGCACGGCATGAATTAGAGTGCGCTATTTTATAATTTTGGTCGTACGTGGAAAAGAACTACTACTACTTCGATTCAAAAATACCAAAAACTACTTCTTACCTGAGCTTCTCTGCCTGTTGATTTGTTTCTATGTGACTAGAAGGGGCTATTAATTAAGTTGCTTTAAGGAAAGCAATGGAACTTTAATTTACTAAAATCGCTGTCAATCGCTCCAGAAACCACAGAAAACTGGGACAACTAACCACACAGAGGAGTTAAGGTATATTACATGTTCTTTTTGAAAACCCAAGCCCTGATTGAATGGAAGGAGGAGTCTTTCTTTTCCGTACAAATCTTTTTTGATTTGAAGTTATTCCTGGACCATTTTGAAAGGTCCGGACTCTTTCGCAAAGTCTATGAGATTGCAGCGCCCGTCACAGGAATATTTTTTGGACCATGTCACAAGTTCCCTGAAGCCCAATACTGGACAGATATGGCAAAGAAAACACGACAACAGTTAAAAACGAAAGGCATGCGAAGATCTAAAAATCGGCTTGATTAATGACAGGAACAGAATGGTATAAAGAAATTCTCGTTCAGTCTCTCGTGTTCTTCTTTTTTTGGGGGGTTTTCCTAGCCTGATCCAAAAACAGCCGACATCTCGTGACGCCATCACTGGTTTCCCCGCGAAATGACGTCTGAGCAATGACAGCAGAAATTCCATACTGATGACACGTCACTGCCCAGAGCTGGATAGTACTTCTGATTGGTTGAAGCAAATTTCTCTCGCGGAACAACCAGTCAGAAGCCGCTACCCAGATCTGGGTAGTGACAACTCATCTCGCTGGGAAACAAGTGGCGGCGTCGCGAAATGTCGACTATTTTATCAGGCTAATGTTTTCCTTGCAAATAAATCTGCCTATTATGGTCTCGACTTCTTTTAAACCACTATAATCTTGAAAAAAACTTAATGCATACCTGATTGTAATGATCAAGGCCCATGCAGATCATGTTCAGTAGAATAACACTCATGATGAAGAACGTGAACTGCTTGCTGACAGTAATTTTTCGGCAAAGACCTCTGAACTTCTGCCAAATGCCATGATTCGTTGTAACATCATACGAGGCGCTTTGGCGTAAGTTAAAAAGACTTTCAAACATGTCGTCTTCACTCTGCGTAGAGGTACTACGCTGAGATAATGATGGTTTCTTTATGGGGGCAGTGACTGGTTTGATATCATCTTCCAGCCCCTTGCTTAAAGAGATATCTCGAAAAGAAAGGTCACTGCTCTGTAAATTATGTTTAGGAGAAGTTGAAAAACCCTCCACTTCTAGTTTGACAGGATTTGCTCCAACCTCAACAGAATTATCAGGGTCTATGTCCTCGTCAACTATTTCTGAGGGCCTGTACGTTGAGATAACAGGAGTTGGAGTGCAATTCAACTTCAAGTGAACTGGCTGGCTAAAGCGCCGCTTTTTTAATGCATCTTTATCGTTACGACGAAGTGATGACTTCTTTTCGACCTTTAGTTTCATTTTGGGTTCATCTTGTTTTCCAAAGTTAACGCTGGAGTATTGTGGGTTTATTTCCGCTGAAACCGTTGTGGATGTAGAATGTTCGGCTTTATCGATGTTAGGATTTTTCCTCATTCTAGGGCTACTGTTACTCGACGCAAATGCAAAGAAGCCCACAGTGGCGGTCGGTGAGGGAATGTTTAAAGTTACACTTGTCTTCGTTTCCGCCATGATGTCTTCGAAAGAAACGGCTGATGCTGTTTCGGCATGTATTGATAACGTATGTGAGCACGTGGAAGTTCTTGAACTTCTTCGAGAAGCTTGTTCATGAGTCGAAGTTAGACATTTTTGATACACATCAAACTCCTCGGACAATAGAGGAAATGATACCTCTTGTTCTCCTTCTTCTTGAACCTTTATTTCTGGTATTTCTGATGAACGAGCCAGATCAGAAACATTCCGTACGTTAGAAAGCATCACCGGAGAAGCCGGCAAAAAACAGTTGTACAAGTGGTGATGGAAGTGGTGATGATGATAAAAGTGATGATGATGGTGATGAACCTGAGATTCTTTATCTTGAGAGGCGCATTTGCATAAGTTTTGAAGAAACTTCACAAACGACACCAGTGACTATGGGTGGTGGAACCTAGTCTCCTTACTAAGCTCCATTAGCTCTATCTCACGTGCCTTTGTTTCTTGGAATTGCATTGTAATTACCACTAAGCACAAGTTCACAAGGAAGAATGAACCCATCTGTCAAATAACAAACCCAGATGTGATAACATCAATAACTGATCATACAATGAAAGACATAGCTGATATATCCACTTAAATCCCACCACAGAAGTATAGTAGGTATATTTCAGCCCCCTTTTGGGCAGTGAAATCTCTTTAAATTGCGGTGGAATACATTAACATCGATAAAATCATAGACTGTTTTCGTTATCTCACCCCCTCCCCTCTCAAGGTTGAAAAAGATGATAATCTCTTCTATATATGTTCGAGTTATTACAATTCTTGTGATAACATAACACGGTTCTTGCAAAGTCAAAGCTTTAACACATGACCTTTTAAAATCATTTTGACAAAATCTTAGGTACCAGCTAAGTGCTGACAAAACTAAAAATGCCATTTGTAAACCACTGTTAACTCACCACTATCAGCACAACAAAGTAAATCCAGTTCCAGAAGCTGTGAGAATCTTGAACAAAATACATGATATCTGACCAACCTTCGAGGGTAATAACCTGTTTAAAATAAAATTTTTTGTATTTATTATTATTTTCTTCTCCAGTTGGCGCTTGCACATACTGTTCTAAGAAAAATGGTCCTATTTAGATCATCTTCACAGACAAACTAATCCCATTATTTGAGTTCAGGTAATGTCAATATGCGCATGGAAGAACTTAAGTTTTATCAGGAGCCATAATCGGGCCGGGTAGAGCTCCTGGTTTTATAACTGAGTAGTTGTTAGCGCATCGAGCAGGTAGCCTATGCTAGGCTCTCAGTCGGTAAGGACGAGCGAAAAGAGATTACAAGCAGTAAAATAGCGCCTAGCGAAAAACAGCGAGAAGAGACAGGGTATCAAGAGCCTGTAAGCATCTTTTCAAATACCTCAATCCGACTACTACCCCACTCACTTCCTGAAAAACCGTTTATCGTGTCAGAATGTCAAATGTCAATACGTCAAAAAATGCACCTTATTTCAGTGTCAATGCACTTAGCACGAAAGTACTAATTGGGGACACTATTTTTACGTCTCCTATCGGAGATGGGACCGCCATTTTACGTGGTCAACCGAACCACGGGCGAAGGTCTAGGCATTTGCAGGGCAAAGCAGTACCTTTATTTCTCAATTATTTTAAGACCCTGAGTATTGGTCCGGCCCCAGGAATCGAACCCGCGACCGATCCCGCTCTGCAGTCAAGCGCTCTACCGCCTGAGCTAATCCTGCGCCGTGTTTCACATGCTTGATATGTTTGTTAGACTCTGCGCACACGGAAACAAATGAATGACGTAAATGTTGAAGTAAACTGTTCCAATTGACCAATCGCAGGGTATGTACCAGGAGTTGGTGTATCGGCATGAGGTATTAGGGAGCTTTAGCAACGACAATGGCGATGGGAACGAGAACGTCAAAAGAGCAATAGGTTTATTAATCAAAACAATAACTTTGCACGTACATCACGCTTTTTTGTACATTTCTTTGCCATTGGCTGGACGACAACGACGTGAAAATGCCTACTTTCACATTTTATGGAGGATGCAAACAAACCACGACGAATTGTCTTTGATCTCTCTCTAAATTTTAGTAGGATACCCAAGAAATCAACTCCTGGAAAAAACTCGCCTACATTTATATTTCAGCGCAATGGAATAAACGCCGCAAAGTTTTATTTTAAAGGTGACGTTACGTTTTCGCTAACGTCTCCGTCGTCGATGCTAAAGCTCTCTTAAAACAGTCAGGCTGCTTTACTACTCTGTTTCTCCTTAGCCCCACGCGGTTTTCGCGTAACTTTTCTCGATTCTCCTTCCTCATTACCTTGGAGCCTGGGACAAGCCAGCGTCGAGCTGGAACCTTGACTTTTCAATATTGTTGTCTCCTTAAGCTAGAGATCTGCTGTCCTTTAGCTCTCTTCAACAGGGTGTATAAGTGGGTACCCCGTGACATTGATGCCACTGGCTTTAACACTGTGATGGGTTAAAATCCTATTCAAGGTGTTTCATGTTAACAAGACTAAGATCAGCTAAATTCATAGGCTCCATCTTATCCCACAGAAAACCGTTCGTTTCAATACAAGGTCTTTTCGATACAACTCGTTTCGATATGAACTCAAGCGGTGAAATTGCACAAAAATCTCTTTTCGCTGCAAGTATAGTTTGCGCATGCTCAAGAAAAAAAATTTGGACTGGGTTTCACCGGCGAAAAATGTCTGCGCATGCTCTACTAAAAATGACACGTGATCTATTTCGGGCAATGTCATTGGCTCTGAGGCAAAAATACCCGCGAAATGTTGTTGAGATGAAAGAAGCGATGGCAGCTTTTGTTGGCAGTGACAGCGTTGCAATTGCTTGCCACTGTAAGAGATCAAAAAATATTTTCATCAAAGTTTTGACGGAAGTGTGTTCTCTAGAGAATAGAGCGTCCTGGAACTGGCGAAAAATCGCAGTGGCATGGTCTGATTCAGTGTTGTTGACGTTGAGATCGCTGGTTTGCATGTGGAAGACGTGTCGAAAAGGTGGGTAATTTTTACTCTCTTTGTTTACTGCATGTTCCGTGCAACTCGGTACAAAAATAAATTATAAAGTAGTGGAAGAAAAATTATTGGGCTTTGTTTTGGTATATAAATTAGCTTGTAACGAGTTGCACGGAAGCGACAGTTTTGTTAAATGTGTATCCCGTTTTTGTGTCAAAATTCGACTTTGTGAATCTAACATTCGACAACATTCAACTGTTGATCGAAGAGCGTATTACAACGCTATCCAAAATGTTTTTGTTGTTTAGTTCAAGTTTCTTACCACGGATTCAACCAAAAAAAGTAGAGGGACAGACATTTTTGGGCTTTGTTTTGTTAATATGACTTAGCTAGTACTTTGTTGCTGGAAAAACTATATTTAGATGCTAAATCTCCGTGTGTGTGTGTTAACTCCGTTTATGGCAGAAAAATAAGCTTACGCTTAGTTCAAGTTAATCTCGTGTCACTCGGTACAAAAGGAAATTATAAGGAAGGTAGAGAAATATTCTTAGCGATTGTCTAGCTGTGTAAATTGTCTTGTGGCTAGTGGATCGAAAGCGGCCGGGTTTGCCGCAGTTTTCTATAGTGAGTAGTTCGAAACGTGATGTTGTCGATCGATACAGATTTCATTGTTGTTGCACATTACAGCTTTGTATGTGAAAGAAATTTGAGTTTTAACCGAACTGTCGAATGAAAAAATGTGAGAGTGTTTTCATTAAACGCTTAGACTGTCTTGGAGCTACAGTACGATAGGTCCAGCAACATTTTGATTTGTAAAAAAAATTCTGTTTACAGAATGTGTACAGCTGCTGTACATTTAGGCTTGCAATTTTATAATTGAAGGATCGAAGTTTAGATTATCTTGCTCATAAACTTGGCTTGGGATTATCCACACAGCTTGTTACACACTTACTTGTTACTTTCTTCGTTAGAAACCGCACTTGCGGACATTATTTCTCCCGTGTACAATTTTTTAGTACTAAATTTTTGTACACAGGGCTTTCTGTGGGGGTTGCCTCTTTGCTTGAAAATTGTATCCTGCAAGGAGATGAACAGGGTAATTTTCCTGTGAATTCTTTTGTTTTTCTGTCCATCGTTTTTGGCTTAATTTTTCTGGAGCAAAGTTACGAGTGAATGATAGAGTTAACATGCTATTAAGTATTCAAAAGTTCTTTCCAAGAAAAAAATAGTTATCACAAATTAAACTTACAGGAGTTTAAACTTCATGTTGATGAATGCAGTTGTGTAGGATATACAGTTTCCAATTTTGATCTTCTGTTAGAATTATGACAGAACACTCAAATACAGATCTTATTCAAACTTTACAGTTTCACTGTAATTATCGTTGTTTCTATTCCTATAAACTTATCATTAGGTCTACATTTTGCATAAATTTAATGTGATATATATTATTTGAAGGGTTTGTTGTTTCATAGTAAAGTAGTTTTAAATTTCACTTTGTTTTTTTGATATGAAGTTCAGTTTCTTCTTATTTGTTCTCTAAGGCAGTGTTGAAGTATGTGACATTTTAACATATTTTATTTATTTCTCTTCAGAAAAGATTGATTGATCCTGCATCAAACAAAGTGCAGCCTCACAAACAAGATTTTTGACGAACAAATGTGTACTCAAGCAAAACATATGTCCCCGACAGTGTAAATAAAATTTATTAATGGAAAGATCTGGGTTTTTACTCCTTTGTAGCACTTTTGACTACGCATCAGTTTTCCAAACTATGTACTAAAAAAAGCAGATACAATCAGTATTTTTTCCAACTAACATATTTGTAATCAAAATTCTCTTCTTTTATATAAATTATATCCCTAATTTAAAAAATTTCATTATCTTATTCAGATCCAGCACAGTAACCGTTGAAAAGAAAAAAAAACCTGCTCGGTCATAGACGGCTTTAAAGTTGTGATCTTGAAATTGCACCTGTTCACAATGAAAAGAACATGAATGCAGACACCACAGTTCATTTAGCTCATGTTTAAGCTTTTTTTTTATAAATTATAAGGTCTTGCTGGAGAAAAAAAATTTTGCTCTATCTTTTCGGTGAAAAAAAAAAAGATAAAATAACTTCCAGGTGTCTAAGCAATTTCAAAGGACCCATCGTGTCTTATTTCTCCTCTGCCTTGAGCTGTCAACAAAGGCCGTTTTTCCTAGTGACCCGGCTTTTATCAGAAATATTGTTGTCCTTCGTGATCGTGAAGAGTGATCGCTTAAACAAGTCCAAAGCTG